TCATGTACATAAAGAGTAAGACTGACCTTTCTTTGCTGTGTAGATGTGTTTTCATACTGCCTATATTATTGATAGGATTTATTTAATTGGACAGCATTAACCTTCACACTAGGGCAGAAGTAATTAGTAGATGTTGAAATGCAAGCAGTGCAAACTATAAAATAAATGTCAGGATGTGTGTCGACTCCCTTCTTGGTAATGCCTCTAAGTTTTTGGGCCTAATGCCTTTCAAAACACGGTTAATAATTCTCTGTGTTTTGTACTGAATAATTAGATTTACAGTTTTAAAGAACAACTTCCTATACTGTACTTATTCTGAGTATATTTATATGTTCCGAGTTCTCCAGAATTTGGGGCTTCAAAACGAACTTCCAAAAGTCATTTTTTGTTCAAACGCCACTGTTTTCAGTAGAAAAGCCAGATGTCCCGAGTTCTGGAACCAGGTGTTTCAGGCAGGTCTTGGATCTGCAGAACTGAAGTGGATGCACGGTGCTTTTCTTCTAGAACTGTTCAGTAAGAGTGAGGGTGTTTACTGGCCAGTGAAAGACCGAAGCTGACAGTGGTAGAGAGAGAGAGTCTATTTATTCTTTTTTTTTAAATAGGAAAAATGTAAAAAGTTTGGATGAAATATTTAAAGTCTGTGTGGGTGTAATTTCCTCACGAATACTACAGCCCGCAGCGCTGAGAATAAAACAGGGCTGTAGGATTTAGGAGCTGCAGTAGAACAGACCAGGTACTGAAAATGAGTCACTCACAGTTACTGACAGAACCCTCCCACTCATAGCTCTACAGAACAGGCTTGGTACACTCATTGAACACAATATTAGGAGCCACCACCCCCAGATAATGTATGAACAGAAACAGCAGTTTCAAAAAGATATGGCATTGAATATTCCTCAGGGTTTTGAGATCTTTCCAGCCATGTCCGGTTCGGCTCAAAGACTGCAGTTGTGGTGGTGAGGGCAATGGTTTGCTGGGATTGTTATCGCCAGAGCAAGACATGCCGGTCTATCGTCTCAAGAGTCTACTCATTTGGCTGGGTAGGGTTTCCTAATAATTTGGCCAGTGGATGTGTGTTGCTTCCTCTGTCAAGATATGAGAGACATCTTCAGGTTATACAGTAGTGCCTTATGTACCCAGCAATCTTCCCAGTTTGGTTTTGACTAGGAAGAAGTCCTACGTCTTCCATTAACTCTTGTATACACCCCATCAGTATTTTGGGTAATAAAACTACAAGACCCACTTCCCTTTAATAAGAGGGTAAGGACATTAACATAAGTACATCACTGAAGAAACGTCAGCTGGGTCCAAATGGGCCTTAATTAGACCATTTGTGTTTTTCCCAAGGAATATAAGCAGATGGAATTTCGAGAGCTTTAGACAATTTGTCACTTTTTGGGCCTTGGAGTAAAAGAACTAGGTTCAGACTGGGTTCAAAGTGACCATTTAAATGACTGAATGAAACAGCGGTCTTAAAAGAAGCCATCTCCTCATCCCTTTAATGAATTACAGAATTAAAATCGATTACACTGGCTGTTTTCTACAAGACGTCCATAGAGGGTTCGACATGTGATTCCTGCTCTTGCAAAACGTGGTCCAAGAATTACGGAGTCTCGGGTGTTCACCTTGGATAAAGAGTCAATCCAGTTCTGTTGACCACCAGTGTCAAGGACGCTACGTCACAGAAAGGCATCCCAAACCCAAATTATCCTGAAATTAGGTTCCCTTCTTCTCTCAACGACTGCCTCGTTTCCTTCTGATCATTTGCAGGTTTCAACTTCACCCCCTCTCTTCACCTCTCTCGACTTCGGACCACCTGGGTGGCCTCTCTGCCTCTCCCCCTGCTCCCACCTCCGCCACTCTCCCGGCTTCTCCTATGCTATATAATCTCTGCTGACTCCCCTGTCTTTCTCGCACCCGAAGAAGGCTCCACAGCCGAAACGTTGCGTTTACCTTTCTTCTCTTTCCCGCAGGGAAACCTTTGCTTGTTCCTGCTAGGTTACAGTATCCACAGAGCTCAGTCAGTCCTTCAATGATTGTAAAGACCTGGCGTCTCCTCTCGCCTCTCCCCCCCCCCCCTGCAGGGTACCGGCACTGGCACGCCGACCTGCGCCCAGATGACACCCCCCTGGAGGCGGGCTTGGCCTTCACCTGCAAGCTGAAGGGCTCCGTCCCCTTCCTGGGCAGACGGGCTCTGGAGGAGCAGAAGGCCGAGGGATTGCGGCGAAGAATCGTCTGCTTCACCATCAACGAGTTGAGTCCTGGGGACAGCGGAGGGGGGGTGGGAGGGGAGGCGGGGGCAAGTTACCCGCTCGCGTTCGGTACCTCTCCTCCCACAATTTGTCCTTGCAGATTCTGCAGGGTGACTTTCACTTCCGATCCCGACCCGCCAACCCCTTGTCACAAGCTCCCAGCCTGGGAGTTGGATCGTTTCTTACTTTTTCTTTTGCCAGAGACATCTAAACCTACACAGATCTGGGGATCCCGTCTTTGTGCTTTGTACTGGGGAGGAACGTCAGGAGGCTGGCATGATGGCACAGTGATTAGCATTGCTGCCTTGCGGAGCTGGGGCCCTGGGTTCGATTCCTGAGGTTCACTTCCTCCAGTCTGCCTGGAGTCTGTACAAGGATGTTCTCTCCATGCTTGCGTGGGTTTCGTCTGGGTGCTCCAGTTTCCTCCCAGAGTCCAGAGGCACATTGGTACAGCTGTAAAATTGGCCCTGGTGTGAGAGTGTGTTTGTGTGTGGGTGTGATGGACTGGTGTATCTTGCCTTGCACCTATTGCTTAGCTCTGGCTAACCTTGTGACCCTCTCCTGGATAAGCTATTAAGAGAACAGATAGAGGGAACCTTTAATACTGATGTAAACGGTCAACCTGCTTCTGGAGAACCCTACTAGTTTTCATTCCAGCTAAACTCTCACTTATGTAATTGAACTGTTAATTGACTTAATATTAGGGATTATTTGATCTCCTGCTATCAGTTTCTGAATAGGTTGGATGTCTCCTTTTGAGCTACTACTAAATAACTGTAGCTATCGTAATGGAAACTGGTCAGACTTGCACAGGTTCCAGCAACTTGTCGGTTCGGTTTAGGATTTAATTTGAAAAAAAAAAGATGTGGACCAAGACAAAAACCAGCAACATAAGCCGTCTCGGTTTTCAGAGTAAAAAGGTTTTACCAGTGGAAATGCTGTGATCTAGCAGCACAGAAAAAACAACAGCTAAATGTTTAATCAAGCCCACAAACTAGGAGGTTAATAAAAGTCGCTTGAGTGCACTGATGCAACAGATTTTCAGTTTGAAATGTCTTTATGATCCTGGCAGACTGTTTTTTTTTTTCCATTTTTATTGGTTTAACTCAAAGCCGTCTCACGTTAGCTTTGCTAACAAAGGGGATGCAAATGTTTGCTTAAGATTTGTTTTCCCTTCATGACAACAGTAATAAAGCCACCGGCACAGATGACGACTTGGCGGGATTTTTGGCATTGCCGTGAGCGGATTCCGGGAATTAATTTCGGCAAGCTCAACTGGGAAATCGATCCCTTATCAGCTGAAAATGGAGTCTGTTTACTTGTGGAGAAATCCAAGGAAAAAAAGTGTAAATATTATTGTACGGCCGACATTACAGGTCGTGCGAGCCGGCTCGCCAGTGCGGTGACGTCACCCCCCTTCCCTGTGAATACTGGGAGCCTCAGCCGCCGGGCTGATGGGAGATCTCCCTTTAGCTCAGCTGGCTGAGTGCCTGTTGAGTGACGCCGGAGGCCCGGGTTCGAGTCCCCAGCAGTGGGGGGGCCGACCTGAGGCGGCAGTGGCGAGGGCGCATACCCACATGAACCGGAGAGCGCTACGTTATGTTCTAATTCAGGGCAGCAATGCAGCACGGATAACATCAGCAGTGCCCATCGATATTCCTGTTTACAGTAGGTCACTGATGATGCTGTGATTGTGTTGGGAAGTATTGCTAAGGACAACAATCATCACTCTCCCCCCCCTCCCTTCCCCCTGGTAAGCGTCACAGGAGCATGAAGGCAGGAGCGTCCAGATTCAGAGACAGTTTCTTCCCACAAGCAGCAAGATTCCTGAACCCCTACCCCTACCACTGACTCACACTGAACTCTTTTTTCCTCTTCTCGCACTGCTTGTCCGAGTTGCTTTTTTTTTCCAAAGCTGTATGTCATTTAACTTGCTGCTGTTCTGTGTTTCTTTTGGGGTTTCCTTAACATCTTTGTGCCTGCAAATAAGCATTTAATTACACTTGTGCACAAGGCGCATAAACTGAACTGAACAGTGGCGTGTATTGATCAGATCAATTCTGTTCATTCAGGATTTGACACTGGCTTAGACCCATAGAATGTGTAGACGGTTGCCTTGCACCCTGGGAGATCTGCTACAGAAATGGGAATTGTGCAGCGTCGTCTCCAAGCAAGCTTCATACAGCAGCTCCCTTTCTCTTCCATTTTTCCCAGGAAAGTTCCCATGTTTGGTCTGGAAGCGATCTTCAGGAACGGGGAGCCGGTTGGTCACCTGCGCAGAGCAGATTACGGTTTTGCCATTGACAAGACCCTTGGCTACGGATATATCCGAGACCCCAAGGGCAGTGTTGTGAGTATCGTCTCCCAGAATCGCTGTGCACAGTGGCGCTTGCCTGTTCTCAATTTTAATTTGTGCTCTCCCTTGGTTTGTATTTGTGTCCTGTGGGTTCGTGTTCCCCTAGACGGTGGAAATGTGGGCTGGCACTGTTTAACGATGAGTTATTGATAGGGTTCATTGCTTGACATGCAGTCTCGGCATTTCAGCATCGTGAATATCACTCTTCATTTTGCTGTGCAATTCTGCAGGCAGCTCGTGACTTTGCAGAGGGCTTAATGTCTTGGGACAAGAAGCTTTCCAGGGATAATAAACAAAAAATTGAATGTCGGATCATAGTGCCAGTCAGCCACTTTCAGTTGGTATTTATCGACCAGGGGATGAGAGTATTGGGAAGGATGGACATGATCTTATAGAGCGGGAAGGGTGAATGAATTATTATTCTGGAAGGGAGCATTTCCTTCCTTTACCAGTACGTCTGGAACACGGGTCACAGGAGACTGGCCGAGGCCGATCTCTCTCGTGAGGAGGTTGTCGGTTCGATGACGGTGTGTTTTTTATTATTTTGAAGAATCAGCTGTTATTTGTGTTAAAGGGGAACTACAGTCCCCTTTCTTTCCTACAGACCAGTTATCGCATCTCGGCAACAAAATAAATTCATTGACGTTATAGGAAAATGTTAGAAATTCGAGAGCTCGCGAGAATTGCAGTGTGATGCGGCCCTTCCTGCTCACTAGTCACTGTAACAACTAACGTACTGCGCGAGTGAATGAGTACAGGTTTTGCAGCAGGCATTTCATTGCAGAAATGTTCCAATGTGAGCTGCATGCAGAGTTAACAAGTAGTTTTTGTCGACAAAACAGACTCAAATTTGAGAGCAATATTTCTGTTGGATTAAAAGAGATGTGTTCATAAGCCAGTTTGTTTACAGTGTAATAGGGCTGCTTCACCTCACTGGATGTTTTGTTACCTCGTTCTGAATCGCAGAACATCACCTGGAAATTTCAGTTATTTTGTGATGTAACTTGGAGGTTTTAAAAGTTTACTGTGTCCATTTTACTTCCATTGCTTTCGTTGCTTTCTTTCTAACCCCGAAATATGAAAATAAAGTTGCAGTTCCCCTTTAAAAGAAGAGTTTGGTGTGGGATGCTTCTGAATAATAAAACACACCAAGAGACAGTTCGGTTAAAAAAGCATCGAGTTTACTGTGCGCAGGAGCCTAATTGTCGTAGAGGAGATCTGTACCAGAGACCCAGGGAGACGCCTGGATCAGCAGCTCTCGAAGACGCAGGTCCACTCTGTACCGTTCTGAGAGAGAAAGCAATCTCACGGCAGGCTTGTGGCGCGATCGGGGGGGAAAGACGCCGGCTCTATGAAAAGTGACAGGCGTGGAGATTTCCTCAGACAGGAGAGGTCATGGAAATGTTGCACTTTATCCACAGCAGCAGCATTGCAACAATATACAGTACTGTGGCTTGAGAAAGACCTCAAGGGAACACTAGGGCCTTCTGCTGACAACCTACAGTATGTCTATGTAAAGTCCCAATTCTCTAGGGAAATTTCTGTAGTGGGTGGCACAGTGGTGCAGTGGTTGGCACTTCTGCCTTGCAGAGCTGGGGTCCTGGGTTCAATTCCTGGGGTGCTATCTGTATAGAGTTTGTATGTTCTCCCCATGTTCGCGTAGGTGTCCTCTGGGTGCTCCAGTGTCCTGCGCAGTCCCTAAGGTATACTGGCAGGTTCGTTGGTTTCTGGGAAAATTGGCCCTGGTGTGAGTGTGTTCGTGTCTCTCTGCCTGCCTTGCGATGGACTGGTGTCCCGCCAAGAGTGTACCCTGCCTTGTGCCCATTACCTGCAGGGACAGACTCCAGCTCCCAAGCAACCCTGAACTGGAAGAGGTAGTTAGCAAGTAGATGCATGGGCGAACATTTCTATAGAAATATTGAGGTCATTAACCTGAAGGGCCGGCAAAGAGGACATGGGAAACAAAGAGAATTCTGGGAGGCGAATAGTCCAACACTTCCATTGCTGAAAAGGGAGACAGTGCTCCTGAAAGTGTGGGGATTTCACAATCCACATGGACAGTCAGTCTCTTGAGAAAGTGGAACTTGAGCATTGTTCAATTTTTCTGGTGTTGGTGCATCTGTCAGAAAAAACATCCTGGAAAGTGTGAGTCATGCAACTGCTGCAGCTAATCTAATTAGGGGCAAGAGAATCAAACTTTGAAAGCTCGCTCACCCTGTTTTGTTTTGTGTTTTTTTTTCCCCTCACATTTATCTGCAATAGTAGGTTGGTTAGATAATGCTGGCTATTTTCAGTACGCGGTTAAAAAAAACAACCAAGAAGACCCGTTGAAAGCTGCTGTGGGCTGGCTGGCTAGGCTGTGACAGCTTCTCAGGTTAAATGTGGAACAGATGGGAGCTTTCCGTGCTGGCAGAGGTGAATGGAGGCCACTTTTATCACACGCTAACATTGGGGACATGATGACACAGAGCAGCGACAGGTCACCATAGAGAGAGAGAGAGAGAGGGAGGAGTGAAGGTCAGAGGTTTGCAGTGTCTTCAGGACTTCTTAATTCTGTATCTTATCTAAAGCTGCCCATTGCATGTTCAGCCAGGCTGCTTCATGTTAATGTTACCTGCTAGGACTCCCAAAAGGGACACCTCTGATGTACTTCAAGGCAACTTCAGAACAGGCTTCTTTTTTCACAGGGGTACATGCATGTTCTATGATCTTTACGTTAACCCACCGATCATTCATTCTGTCCTCGAAATAGGTATTTGCGGGATTTAAGCGCCTGGTCTGATTTGTGTTTTTCGGTCCGTTTTTTTTTAGTGGATTTAATTCGTTTATCTGTGGAATGAAACTGCGAGTTAGAATTGTTCTTTTCGGCCGCCTGGTCGGCGCTGAAGACCTCAGTGGACAAGTGCGAGGCGGTCTTCAGGTGCTCCAGCTCTGCTGGAATCCTCAACCTTTAAAGGGTTTGAAATGGTTTTAATGGAGGTGTTGATTATTACCATAATGACAAAGGGAAATGAAGCAGAGGATGCACATCATAAGTTCATCATGCTGATCTTATTGGCATTACCAAGTCACAGAATGGGCTTGATCTGCAGTCTCAGACCCGTCACTGGGCACTTCAAGCTGAGCTAATGGAAAACCCACTATGTCAAAGGGCCCACCCCCATCTTGAGAGCACAAAGGATTGACAGGAATTGACATCACCACACCGGGCTCATCATACAGCAGACAAACTAACCTGCTTTCACCGTTTAGATGTGTGCTGTCACTATCTTTTTCATTTGAAGTGTTTATGCTAATTTGCTTATTTTAAACTGTTCCCCTTGCCAAAACAATCTACTCAGCTGTTTGAAGCATCACAGATATAATTGACTGTTAGTCAAGTATTCCCTTTTTCCAATGGGAAGCTGAAAAGCCTCCTCTTTCCTACAGTGACTGCATTGTATGATTCAAGGCAGCTTTAGATTACGGCTAATTTCTCTATAACTGTCGCTTTAAATGGGGGAATCTTCCCCTTCTCCAGTCAGATGGATGCAAACAGCAAGCATTAAAGGTGGCATAACCAAGACATTGTCTTCCTCCTCTTCCTTTATTTAATTAAATAAATCAGTGGGGACCTGCTGTACAGAAGACAAAACAATGAAACGGAAGATCACTTCATAAAACATCGATAACAATAGCACAATGTTAACAGGTGCAGCTGTTAGCCTGAGAAAATGTTATCATGCAGAGGAACACAGTGTCAGATATGGAGGTAGATAGCTCTTGCTCACCTTACAGGTTGTTCATCGGCAAAGGCAAATTGAAAGGTTTGAGCCCCAGGAAGGCAGTGGCTCTTGGGAGTTTCTGTGTAATAGAAGTAGTAATAGAATTGGAGGAGGGTAC